ACACTGGCAACTCGCTCGCTGATGCCTTCGTTTGGGTGAGTCGAAAGACGACTGGGGGACTTCGCCTTTAGTTTTCTGACGGAATATATTCATTTCAGGTCAAGCCAGGAGGCGAATCCGACGGTACTAGCGACTCATCCGCTACTCGCTTCGACTCTTTCTGCGGCTTGTCTGACGCTTTCCAACCTGCGCCGGAGGGTGAGTATTTCCGCTGTTTCTCTCTTGTAATTTATAGGGTACTGAATGCTCTTGTTATCAGCCGGAACATGGAACCAAGCTTACTTCGAGATGTTGTTGCAGAACGCCGTCCCATCGTTCTGAGTAGATTCGAGATGAATAGACTTACATCACTCGAGCGAAAATGACTGTCTTGTATTCGATATGCCTTAACCAATGTAAAATTTGAATCATCTACTTCTCAACTCCCCGAGAACAGCATTGTCTTCGCCTCGTCCAACCTCCGTCTGGTTAAACATAAATTCATCGATTGGTCAAGACCGAATTCGGACCCACAAACCGCCACAAATTCTCTCCCGGACCGGGTAACCGGTGATAAACAAACATGTGTCAGGGTCAACTTGACCCCGACGTGATTCAGGTTGTAGCCAACGATGTACTTGAACATACAAATACGAGAGAAACCATGCTTCTGACGAAGAACTTGGGTATGCTTCGTAGAATGCGCGAACATTCGGATCTTCCACTCCATCCTTCTTTCCCGTCTCCTCTATAATCTTGCTCCGTGCCTGTATATGTCTAGACTGCGCCCCGAAACTCTTGTCAAACATTTCCTCGATTTTCTTTAGAACGTGGCTGCGCGGCCTGCTCTGGTGGTAGAGGATCTTCATGTTCAAAAGAACACGAGCGGTTCGATCCCCGACTATTGCGGCGTCTTTGTCGCTGATGCCTTCCAGCACCGCCTGGTGAACAATCTGATTGATGGATGAGCGAAACCACTCGGAAATACAGTATTGCTGGGCCGCCTTCAGGCGGTCGAAGGCAGTGAAGTCAATTCGTTTGGTATTTGAAAGACAGCGAATTGCCATCTTTCGAAGTGCTATGAAGTGCCACGTTGTTGATAGCTTCAGCACTGAGAGCCAGCTTGCCGGATCAATGGAATCATAGAGAATCAAGCTCGAGCGTGTTAAAGTAGCACGTAAGTGATAGGAAACAATACACTCGATGATCATAAGCATCCCACTTACTTTGGGTACAGGACGCTCAAAAACCGTTCAAAATCTACTTTCGAGATCTGCTCCAAAACAATGGGGTTGATCGGACTCCTCCCCTCGGCCCCAATCCAGTGAGTTGGTGGTAACTTCAAGGAGAAGATATCTTTGGGTGCTGGGGACAATGAACAACTCGTTTTCGACCTGGGCATATGGTGCTAAGTCACCATTGGTCGCAAACTGTATCGAAGATGACTCACCTTGAAATGCAGCAACTCCCAGCAGTATTGGGCATTCTTCAAAAATAGCATAGTGAGAATGTGAGAAGAAAGAGAGCAAGCCTGATCGTGAGCTCGAATACGCGTCGACCCTAAAGACAAAGGAAGAATTCGCAGCGTGTAATACTACATCTGTTGTTTATCTTATCTATTTAATGTCATTGAGCTAGTAACTGACGAGCTTGATGACCGGTTGGAGACTCTTCCAGGATTACCACCTTCCAGGCAATCTTGAAGTAGGCATCAATCTAGAATGCTCGACACTTGTAGCTCAGAACCTTAGCCAGATGATTAGAAAGAGAAGAGAAAAGGTGGATAGTTCAGATCTCTTGCAAGGCGAGAAATTGTGTGTGTAAGTGGACTTCACGAGTTTTTTAAGAATCAAATAACTTGCGACAGTGAGACCAGAGATACCCTAGAAGCTATTTGGACACGGTAATCGTACACGACCTATGATTAGCCAGCGTATGCGAGCTCAGAAGACTAAATGGTCGGCTTTTACTTTCCGAGTCAACATGGTTTGACCATGAATTCGGTCTGGCAACAACTGGAGTAAAATAGCTTGCACGGTTTGCCATAGCCCACCGCGAGGGTCGAACTCGCAGCCTTCAGATGAATACAGCCACGCCCGTAAAAGTCTGACGCTCTATCCGATTGAGCTAGGCGGGCGTTGCAAATGGTAAGCTAAATGCATCCACAACGCGCAGTCTTGACCCATTGCTCAGAGGTTCGGTTTAATATAGGCACAGTGAAGGATGAATAGAGTTTGAGTACGGCTCCCACTTGTGGTGAATACATGCCTGCTCAAGTTTCGAAAGAGTTCAGCTATAGGCTGCCTGTGCACTCGCGATCATCACGGAAATTTACGAGCCCGAAAACAAGATTAGCCTAGCGTTCTGTTAATCGCGTAGCTCATGTATCACTATAACCACTCATCGAAGAAATTCCAATCAAAGCACCCTCAAGGGTTCCAAATCGTCTCACTTTTGCCGTGCCTCCAAATTCAGCAATAATGCTTGAATAATGCTCTTCAAGTTCGACAAGGAGATGTGCAGGTAAAGGACTGAATTTGTCCACTCAGAACTTGGGCGCGCGACTGGGAGAGTGGCGCCGGCGTGCTGCGAGACCACTTCAAAGTAGCTGGAGAGGCTGAGAATGCGATTGTGAATGGTCTCAGATAAATGCAGACACGTTTAGTAACCTGAAAGCAAGAAGAAACAGCCCTCTCTGACTCACTTTGGTGACGGTGGCAGGAGTGCTGAAAGGATCGAGGAAGTATAATGGGTTTCGAAGTGCCCAATCACGGTCAGCAAGCTTCGAAGCGTCTTCGAAAAGGACGCTAGACATCCGTGCAGTAGCAATCGACATGAGAGATGTCGACGTGAGGAAGTAGCTGAGGCAAGATTGCATTTTCATCCGATGTTTGCTGTTGGATGAGCCTCAATAATAATGAGGGTGAGTAGCTCAAATGGCCCGATGCTTGGTAGTAAATTTAGAACTTTAGACATGTCGTTTCAGGATTAATGAAAGTCGAGGCTTGCCATACGAATGCATTGGCAAAGTAGACATTCTTCCAATTTTATCAGTGACTGTACCATCTTGCCTTGCAGCTCTGATAAGTGGGTGATGAGTGCTGAGCACTGAGCGGCCCCGGCCATCAGGTATCGACCAGGTGACTGAGTTATGAGCATTGATACTCGAATCACCTGTCGACTTGCAACGCTAGTGATTGAGGGTCCTAAACATAATCAGGGTGCGCTTGGGTCTGGGCTCCGCTATATAGTCTCGTCAAAAGATTGAAGACTGCCGCCCGTCGACTGAGTACTAAGAATGGCTGACTCGATAGGTCACCAATTCGTTGCTGGGGAAACCGATGTACTGTATTCCCTCGTTATGAGGACCGTGCTCTTAAATCCGTCTGCAATCGTAAGGTTCGGGCTTGGAGTAGATTGAGCGACCCGACGTGCAAGGCGAAACGAACGTTGCGTCACGAACTGGTATAAAGAGGCATTTTTTTGAGCAAACGAGCGGTATTGGATAAGCCTACTAGGAAGATTGGAGTTCGGAGCTGTGACACGAGGCTTTGCCTATTGTCATAAAGCCTGCCAGTACACGCGTTCGATATTCGTTCGTTCAATTGTCACCAGTGAGGAAGCTTAAGGGAGAGTCGGAGATGAAGGGATATTCACCACGTGCTTCAACATCGGGGGATCACAATTCAATGCCTGCCGGTTGCCGGGTGCCAGTTCATTTTTGCTGTCACCACCACGAACCGTTCCGCACATCTCTAAACTGCCTGAACATGCCCCTCCCTCTAGGCTCTAACCATATGCTATGACGCGGGAGAACAGGAGTGGTCATTTTCTCTGCTAGGTTATGCGAATTTGGTGGTCCTACACTGACCAAAAGGAACCCATGGGCAACCTCTGAGTCCAAGAAGCCTCCCACAAGTCAATGCCAGCGAGGAGGTTCAACGGGAGAAGAGTAAGGAAGCTATTGCATGATGCAGGAGCCTGAGGCTACAAGGTGGGGTTTCTCGTATAGGGTCTTTGATCTGGCAACACTCATACTATTTCCAGCGCATTTGTCAAGATTTACGCGATCTTCTTCCACCGCCAGCGGAGATCATAAACAACCCAGGTCTAAGCTCCAGTACGCGACATTTGTATGCAGCACACATGAATATCTTGCATTCATGCGTACCAGTTCGACAAAATCAGTACCTTGATCAGACATACGGTGGCGAAATAAATAGACTGGGGGTATGGCTGTGTATCCTATTCAATATTGATGATATCGGGAGTTGACCTCTATCCCAGACCTCTTGCGACGGCTACAAGTCCTGAAGACCTAAATTCACCTTTCAACTTCACCTGCGGTCAGGCCGTGATCAACTTCGCTCCAGCGCCTCTCGCTTCCTCTCGTGAAGGACCTCCGAGAATTCCGACCGTTACCCGTCCTGCTTAACCTCGGCCAGCTCATGATTACATTGAATTGAATAGCATCGAAGTGCTGCAACCACGCAACGCTGTTTCAGCGTCTCATATGCTGGTCTCAAGTAACATATGATGATCAATCCATGGTATAAAGACTTGATGGTATCGATCAAAGGCTCTCCCCCTCCCGTCTCGTCTCGTCTCTTCCTTCTCTTGTACCTCTTTGAACAGAGGATCGACCTCCGGTTGTTTTTTTTTGCTCTTTTAAGGGCTAACATTCCATTCTTTTGAGGTTCTGGCTGTGCCAGAGGTTTTGATAAAGGCGTACTCCCTCATAACTCAG